CCTTCATAACTCTTCATCTAATGTTTCATCCAGTAATGATCAATTAGTTACAAATGCAATTTTACAATTCTGTCATTTCTTATCCACTTACTAACTGGAATTTTTCTTTTAAAAATTGTTCCTGAGGCTATTTGGTTACCATGAAATATAGTTCAAAGAGGAAAATCAAGATGAATGATTAATTATTCACTTTAATTCCAATTATCCAGATAGCATTTATAATACTGAGCAAATTATAACCAGACTGTTTACTTTCTAATTCATCCTGCTCTTCATGCTTTTTTTGTGGTTAAATTAAAACTCTGGTGAGTAAAAACAGCCTTTTAACCACAAAATGAGTTGGTATGCTTTATTTCTTGTAGTGTAAGTTCAGAAAAATAAAAAGGACATCAAAAAATATCCATTTTAATCCTCAAGTTGTACAAGTGAGAGTATTGAGGTATTGGGATGTTATTACATTTTCAGTTAGGAGCATTGTAGAGACTGGAACCCAGATCTGCCAAATCCCAAAGGCTTATTCAAGCTGCCTCTTAGGAAATGTACCTAGGAAAGTGTTTTTCAAAATACAAAGAGTCAGATTCTTATATTCTTTCATAACTAGGGCTCTATGAAGGTTTTACTTCATACTATCCACTGATCTTTTCTTTTGTTCTAAGTTTGGCTGGGGATTAAATGTAGGGTTTATTACATATTAGGCATGAGCTTTATCACTTGAGCTATGCCCATGACCCTGTTAGGTCTTTCTATTGTCTGGTTTGTTTGTTGAATAAGGTCTTGCTAACTTTACTCGGGCTGTCCTTCAACTTGTGATTCTCTTGACTCTGCCTCCCAAGTAGATGAAATTACAGGTATGTACTATCACACTTGGCCCATCCATTTATTTTGTTGAAGAAATGTAAGTCACCCAGTTGGACCCTTAACTTGCCAAAGTACATTTTAAATGATATTATTTTTCACTTCATTTGGTAAAGTAAATTTCTCTATCTGGGATAAATCTCTATGGCATGTACTGGAACAAAAAAAAACTGACAGCTCTCATTTAACTTAACACTTCTATTTTCATTGCATGCTAAGTGCATATCCCTACAATACAGTTAATAGGTCAGAAGAGACCATTCCTACTCCCTACAACCTAACTGGAAAAGTCAGACATGCGTGCAAAAAGTGTCATAAAAGAGTTTGGGTGCAGATGTGGACTCAGTAGCAAAGGTTTCCTAAGATCTCTGTGCTTGTGACTAAGACAGTAGACAAGGAAGAAACAATGTGGATCTGGAGATCCCAGAGGGCCTCATGGAGGAGCTAGGAGCTGAGCTGTCAAGAGAATAGGTTAGCATAGAGCCATATAAGGAAGAAGAAAATGCCATCTTGTTTGGATAAAAGATTTGGTGACATTCTTCCTTACTGATTGGAATCAAGGGGAAGCAGGCCCCAAATATATAAATACAGAGTTGCAGACACAAAGCCTTTTATCCCACTAGATATGGAAAGCCACTGGGCATCCACATATGGTATACTGAAATCCAAGGGCATCCTGCTGCCAGCCTCACTGCCATTTGGAGTCTATCATCTCCTACTTGGAAAGATTGGGACCCCATGGTGGCTCAGGGTTTCTACGGCTTTTTTGGAAGTAAATTTTAGGACATCTGAGATAAAACAATCAATTCTACTGGGACAGGCTATTCCTTTTATGTAGGGCTGTAAATTACCACCACACCCAAAACTACCATCACCATCTTTCTTCCTCATTCTTCCCTATTCAGTCCTAATGCACACTTTTGCAGTAATAAGCATTTATTGCTTAACATGCTGAGCACTGCTGTAAGCATGCAAGCCCCGGAATATGGTGATGGATAGATCAGACAAGCTTCTTGATCTCGTGGGGTTTACAACTTAGGAGATGGAGACAAGACAGACAATACAATATACAAGGAAATAAAATTGAAATGATTTCGATTGTCAAGTGAGTATATAGTGATTGATAGCAAGTAATTGGGAATGAGGAAACTCCTGTAAATAGAGTCATTAATAAGGACTTTCCCAACAATAGAACACTTGATCTAGCACTTCAATGACAAGATAGCACAGGCATTTAGGACCCAGGGAGAATCACTCCAGACAGAACAGTAAATGCAAACTATGTTTTCCCAGGAAAACATAGTTCAGGTAAAGAAAGAAGTTCAGTGTAGGTAGACTATAGGAAGTGAAGTTATAAATATTATGGAATGAGATGAAAGGGGCAGAAGCAGGTTAGAGCATACAATTCATACAGTTCTTGGTGAGTACTTTGTGTTTTACTGTGAGAGTGGTTAGAAGTCACTGAGGACTTTTTATGGAGAAGGGACAATGTCTGCTTCATGATTTTCAAAGATCACTATGTTGCACATGGAAGGATATTAATCATAGCACTTTGTGCAGGATCAAAAGTCTGGAGAATAGCTAGCTCTCCATCACAAGGGACAAGGTAAACAATGTGTTCAGTATGCATACAATGGAACACTAGGCTGGTAGGATGAACAATGGATAGACATCTTTATTCTGATACTCATTGTCAGTGCGTGCAAAGGCAGAGTGACATGCAGGGTGCAGTGTTTGATCTTTGAGTTAAAAGAATAAAGGAGGATTCTAAAGAAATTCTCCTAACAGCCATTTCAGATGGTATTCTATTGGTTCACCAGCTTCAGGTATAATGGCTGCTACCCAGCTAGTGCTGTCCGCAAAGTTAACCAGGCTGTAATTGCAGGTCTGTATACTGTCCTGATGTTTTCACTAGCAAACTTCTAGGGACATCACTCTGTCTAGAACTGCCACCTGCATACTGGATAGGTTCTTAGTGGGAGATACTTAGGATAAAAACCTGTCGGTCATACCCAAACCTTCTCACACAGGCTAACGTAGTCAGCAGAGAGCACAACACAGAGGATCTGTTTTAACTGGAAAAAATAATTGGGTATGGGATAAGACCACACACACACACACACACACACACACCAATACCCCACTGGGTAAGACTAGAGCACTGGATCATGGGAGACGGACAAAGAAACTCTTCCAGCGTACATCTTGCAATACAGTCAAAGTAGATCTTCTTTTACTCTACCTTCTCTTTACCTGCCTCTCCCTTTCTGTTCCACTCGAAGTTTTTGAGAAAAAGCCTTATCTGAATCCTTTTCAGACTGAACATGCTAAGGCCTGCTAAGGACTTTAATCAGTTCCATGACATGATCAGGAAGCATCCCTAAGAGCAGCCAATTTGCAGGCTTACAGCTCGGACTGGCCCTGATGTAGAAAAAATGAAAAAGCTTTATTGAGTTATAAAACAAGCCTGCAGATAAATGAACTCACTACTCTACATCACAACAGAAGTGTTCTGAAATTTATCTTGATTGTTTTAGCATTCACTGTTTTCCCCTTCAATAAAGCTCTATGTTTATCAAAAAGAAGAAAAGAAAGAAGTGCTTTTAAAATGTGGCATAATGTTAATCCTAACCAAGAGCCTTCGTATCTGCCTCCCACAGTGTGAGTGGTTATAAGTGTGTGTCCAAATTTGTGTGCCTCTGTGTGAGGAAAGGCTCTTGAGACCAGAGACAGAACCTCTCTGTAGTTGTTGGGCAGTGGCTGATCCTAGAGAAAGGATGTTTTTATGGAGATGGGGGGTATGAGAAGACAAGGAATGGGAGTAGACTCCTTCTGTGTGTTCTTTGTGAGGGGAACCTTGTGGACACATTGTGTACAGCAAATACCATCACCATAACTCACCAGAGCACTAGACTTTCCCCCTATGAGGGGCTTATTTTGGTATTTGGAGTTCTCAAGGACTTTGAAGAGTGGAGAGTAATGGAAGTCACACATAGTGTAAAGAACACGCTGCTGTCACAGTAAGTGCACATCGGTTCACACTTGCTAGCTCGGCTATGGTGGGAACACTGCAGAGGGAATCCCTGCCAATTACAACTAAGCTACTCTGTGCTCACGATCAGGCCAAGACTTGTCAAATTTAGCAACACACCCTAACGAAACAGCAGCTTCTATGGTTGTTGAATGGTTCAGCCAAAGACCTCAAAGTCATAACATATTCCTTCCTTCAGCATTCATTGAGAAAGTATGCACCTGGTAATCACAAGCTAGTCATTAGAGGGAAAGCAACACCCAGTGAGACTAGTCCCTGTCCTCCAGTGCCTCTAGCCTGAGGAGAAGACAAGGACAAGACAGGCTGGGCAGAGAGTAGCCAGGAAGAAGCAGGGTGCTATGGGGGTGGAGGAGAGCACCAGATATAGGCCCAGGAAGCAATCGGAGACATCAGTGGGTGCTTTCTGGAGGAGCTGGCACCTGAACTAACTCTGGAAGGATATGAGCATGAGCTTGTGAAAACCAGTATTAGAAGATAATAGAAGTCATTCTTCAGCATTGGGAGTGCCACAAAGGTCTGTTTCTTGGATCAGTGCTGTTGTGAACCAAAAGCAAGCTACCCTTTCCTTGTAAAGCATCTGTGTGTTGGAAAGGCTTTCATAGGGGGAAAAATTGCAGTAAGAAACTAACAGTTTCTTGAGACATGCAAACTCTTAACCAGCCCTCTTAGGGTCCATGAAAGAATGTTACAAAAAGAACTGAATCCTACTGTGTGCTGGTGATTCATGCCTCTAATCCTAGCTACCCAGAAGGCTAAAATCTTAGGATAGTGTTTCAAAGTCATCCCCAGCAGGAAAGTCCATAAGATTCTTAATCTACAATTAACCAGCAAAAAGCTGGAAGTGGAGCCATTGCTCAAGTGGTAGAACATCAGCCTTGAGCAAAAAAGCAAAGGGACAGTGAGAGCCCTGGGCTGGAGAAACCCTCAAAAAATAGCTAATCCAGTGGATCAGTTCATCAACAGAAAGGCCCATACAGGACAGGGTCTTTGTCCAGTGCCCCACACTGGACAAAGCCCCACACTGGATGGGAGGTCTGGATGGGAGAGACCGCACCCTCTGCTTCCTTTATATCCCACCCTATCTCTTCCTCAGGAATATTTCCTGGCTGGCACCTGAGCTATGTTGATGTGAAGGACAACTCCCGAGATGAGACCTTCCGCTTCCAATGTGACTGCTGGCTCTCCAAGAGTGAGGGTGACAGGCAGACGGTCCGTGACTTTGCGTGTGCCAACAATGCGATCCGGGAGGAGCTGGAGGAGACCAGTATGTGGCGAGAAGGCATGGGCCCAGCCTAGCTGTGATGCCTGGGCTAACTCTTCTAGTTGAAGGAGGAGGGCTGGCTGAGGCAGAGGTGGGAATGAGAAGACCCTGGCACAGTTTCAGCTTGAGGGAAACTCTATGTGGAGATGCCTGGGTAGAAATTCAGACAACTTAAAATATTGATGCCAATACTCACAGCCTTGAGTCATAGGTCTGACTAGGTAACAAGAAAACTTTGCACCTGACTCTTGTGCTGGGCAGGACAATGCAGCATGGTGTGATGCCTTCTCTGGCTTATTCTTATATCATGGACTAAGTTCAATTGATGTTTTTAGTGATAGCTACCAACCTAGCCTTCCTAGAAAGAGAAGCAGGGGAGCAAGGAACTCCACCAGCCACTCTCCCTTCAGCCCTTCCTTAAGAGATACTTTTAAAAAGGAGTAATTGACCCCTAAGGTGATGGCCATCAAGGCCTAGGGAGATGTGACTAAATACACAGGGCAGATTCTGGGTCCAACTAATTAGAAGGAGGTTCATCAAAAACAGAACCTGGTATAAAGAAGGAATTTATTGGTTATTAAGGCAATACTAAACGCACCAGGAGGCAGTCCCTCGAATCTCAGTGTCTTCCTCACTTCTGCAATAGATAGTCCAGTGTGGGTGTTGGGTGGGAGGCCTTGCATGGTGTGACTTAGAGACCCAAGCTCTTTCCATCTGTGTCTCTGCCATTTCCAACACGTGCCTTGCCCATTTCTCCTTCCTTCCTTCCTTCCTTCCTTCCTTCCTTCCTTCCTTTCTTTCTTTCTCTCTCTCTTTCTCTCTCTTTCTTTCTCTTTCTCTTTTCCTTTCTTTCTCTTTCCTTCTCTCTCTTTCTTTTTTCTCTTTCCTTCTCTCTTTCTTTCTTTTCTTCTTTCTTTCCTTCTTTCTTTCTTTCTTTCACTCTTTCTTTCCTTCTCTCTTTCTCTTTCTTTCCTTCTCTCTTCCTTTCTCTTTCTCTTTTTCTTTCTTTCTCTTTCCTTCTCTCTTTCTCTTTCTTTCTTTTTTCTCTTTTCTTCTCTCTTTCTTTCTTTCTCTTTCCTTCTCTCTTTCTCTTTCTTTTTTCTCTTTCCTTCTCTTTCTTTCTCTCTTTCTTTCTCTCTCCTTCCTTCCTTCCATTTTCTTACTTTCTTTCTTCCTTCCTTCCTCCCTCCAATCCTGCCTCCCTTCTCCCTCCTGCCTTCCTTCTTTCCTTCCGTCCTTCCCTCCTTCCTTCCTTCCCTCCTTCCTTTCTTTTGCTGGTCTTGGGGCTAGAAAGCTGAGCCTGGACACTATTCCTGAGCTTCTTTTGCTCAAGGCAAGCACTCTACCACTTGAGCCACAGTGCCACTTACAACTTTTTTGTGTAGTTTATTGGAGATAGAGTCTTATGTAGTTTCCTTCCCAGGCTGACTTTGAATCATGATCCTCATATCCCAGCCTCCTTAGTTACTAAGATTACAGGTGTGAACTACCAGAGACCAGCTGGCTTGCATATTTCTTGCAGAAAGGAAAAGAGCTTGAAGGCCCTCCACTACTTCTGATCACATTAACTACATCCTATTGGTGAGGACTAGTCAGGTGTCTCTAACAGAGGCAAAGACACCTGGGAACTATAGACTCTGGTTGGTAGGTAGGCTCTTCCTGGAGACTGCTTCACACAGAAGATTAATTGTGCATCTTTGATGGAAAGCCATCTGTCCATCTCTGCTAGGCCATAAAAACTGTTTAATGATGAAATTGGCTGTTTTGAGAGGTAATGAGTATTATGTGTTTGGCATTCAAATGATGGTCAACCACCCATTTATGGACTTTCCTAAAGGGAGAATACCCTGACTCAGACGATGTGCTCCCAGTTTGTATAATTGCTCTTTCTTAGGAGGGACTGGGTTCTAGGTTTTGTTTGGATACTTTGAGCACCCATAGCTCTTGTGACCACAGAGCCTTATGACCTCTACAGAGATAGAATATTTATTATCCTCTTTACACTATTGGGCTTGGGACTTAGTAGGGACTCAGAGAATCGGTGCTCAGTGAATAGGAGAAAATGTAGCACTTTACCTAGGGCCTCTGACTAGAGGGAGAAGCTTAAGACCCTCACACAGGAGCTAAGTGAGCAACAGAGGCTCCTTAGGCCACTGGTGTTCTGGGAAGGAAAGATCTGTAAGGCTTGGAGCAAAACTGCTGAATGTCTTCCTGTGATTTCCAAACAGCAGAACAGCTGTACCTCTGCAGAGACCTGCTGGATTCAGGTTTATAAAGGGAGGATAGTTCTGTAAGTGTGGGAAACAGGAGGGCAGGGGCACAGAGCCACCATTGATTCAAGCTGACAAGAGGCACCATTGCATCCCCAGCAAAGCCCATAACTCATAGGTTCCATACTTGAGTTCTCAGCAGGAGACTTGCTCTGAGGGTGTCAGGGACTAACTATGATCTCAATCCTCAGCTACCTGTGCACCTAAACATGCCTCTTCTGACCTTACAGGACACATTAGCCTGTAAGCACAAGCCCCACCTTGTGCTTGAAAAGCGCTTGTATGTGTGTGAAGGCCTTCCATCCTGTGGAAGGCCCTCAAAACCCATGCCCACCATGACAACTCCTGTGCTATGAATAGGAAAAGACAGGGGAAAAGGGGGAGAAACCCAGATAGGTCAAATCAGCAATTGAGGTCTGCTGCATAGCACCAGGTCTTTATTGGGCCTGGCTAGTACTCCAGACTGATGGATTGCTCCATCCTGCTTAGCCTCCTGTTCCCAGCCTTTATCGCCAGCACTTACCATCCTAGAAGCAGCTCAAAGCCCTCTGTACGCATTTGTCTTTGCAGGAGATTCTGAGGTACAGCCAAAGCAGAGAGTCATTGGCAAAGCTTATATATAATCCCAGTGCTTGAACCTATGGAGACTCTGCTGTAATCCATCCAGAGTTAGGATTGGACAGCATGATAATGTGCTATGTTTCTACTTGTGCAGGTGCATGTGTGTGCATGCACACACACGAGGGCCCAAACATCGCTCTTGTGATATTCCCCAGATGATTTAGCAACTTCCCCCTTTACAGCTCTTCCTTCCCTTTCCCTCAGGAGTCTTTTAGGACTACTCTGTCAGCCTTATCTGCTGCATGTTCAGCCCCAATGAAGTCTGGCTTTCTGGCCAGTCCCCAGAGACAGAGCACTCATAGCTGCCACAGGCAATTTTCTTAGAGAATCCATCTCCACACTTGTGTTTACAAAGCATCTCTCCTTTGTTAGGCTCAATAGAGTCAAACAGAAACTTTCAGGAATTACTAAGATCCTTGGTTTCACATGCCTGAAATCCAAATCTGTGCTGGCCCCAAAGAATATATTGTTTTCTAGAGCTTAGAAGCTTTAGGTGGCTCTGTCTCAGATTTTGCTGTCTCCAGAGGCTCCAATGATTTCAGTGTGTCTCTGTCTCTCATTTCTTCTCAGTTCCACTTCTCCCCAGCCCAGCACATTAACTTCCTTTTAGTAGAAATTTTCCCAAAATCACAGGAAGATAATTGCTGGTAGCACAAATTTCTTTACTGGCAAATAACCAACACACTTATAGCTGAATAACCTTAGGAGCAGAGGAGACCGTCTCCATGAGGAGGATGCTAATTGACCAGGCCTAGACCTCTTAGACCATTCCAGCCACATGGTAGGAGCTCTCCAGTCTCCAAAAGAATCCTATTAAGAAGAGCGATAGGGGCTGGGAATGCTTGCCTAGCATGCATGAAGCCCTGGGATTGATTGCTTAGTACCACATAAACAGAAAAGGCTGGAAGTGGCACTGTGACTCAAGTGTAGAGTACTAACCTTGAGCAAAAGCTCAGGGACAGTGCCCAGGCCCTGAGTTCAAGCCCCAAGACTGTCAAAAAAAAAAAAAGAGGAGACAGTAAACTGTGGATGCCCACCAGAAGCCCATCTCTTCCTCTGCTGTTCTTCCTCTGGTCTTCTTGTCTCAAGACTACCCACCTGTTTATTCTGCAGTATTGTAATGTTTTTGCTCATGTTCATCCATCCCACTTGGAGAATATTCCATCTATTGCTGATTGTAACCATAGCTCTTCTTCAAGGCCAAGCTGAACTTTGACTTCCTTCATGAGGTTTCTTGTGATTAGTTCAGTCAATAACCGTTTATGGCAGGTCTACAATGTAGTGGACATTTGGGGGTCTATTAGTGAACAAATTAAAGCCCCCTACCATTATGGTGCTTACACGTAAATAGGATGGAGAGGTGCAGTAAACAATAAAATGAAAAATAAACATATGATAGAGAATTTTAGGTGGTGACAAGGACAAATAGAGTTAGGCAGACCAGAAATGCAAGGGGACGCAGGTTGTGATTTTTAACTAGAGTTTGGGGAAAATATCTCCCCCAAACTGACAATTGACTAAGGAGAAAGAGGTGAGGGCTGATCCTAGCCACACTGGAGTGGAGGGAACATTCCAGGCAAAGCAAAGAACTACTTCAGAGCACTTAGGCAGAAGTAATCAGGCACAAAGCTGGAAACCGCTAGAGAAAATCTACTAGAAACTGACATGGGAGAGGTCTTGGGAGTCTGGCTCTTTTCTTACCTCTTGAAACTTCCATTCTTTGCCTTGAGCTTTTCACATTCCAGGGACCAAGCATTTGTGCTTGGGGCAGAAAGGGAACTCTGGAGTGATCAGAGTCTGGTCCCTCTGACCCTTGACCCCCGCTGGAGGAAGGATGATGCAAAGATGACAGTGTAGACATTCTGAGCAAGTGGCCAAACAGGGAGGTTGCTGAGAGGCAGATAGGGTGGGGCTCTCTGAGGTCTCTGACTTTCAGGGTCTCTCCCTTCTGCTTTCCATAGCTGGGCCTGCCTCTCCTCCCTTCTATTCTCCACGTATAATTCATATGCTATGTCTTGAAAAAATAGTATAGCTCTGAGAGCCAGACCCCAGCATCTCCCAAGAACTCACCCCCACCGCCTGCTTCATTCTCTATGGCTCTCACTTTCCATATTCTTGGGTAAGGAAGTTGCTACTATGAATAAAATGGGAAGAATTGCTCTAGCTCCAGAATTGGCAGCTCTGCTCACAGGTCTGGATCTTGGCAAAGCTGACTTGCCTCCCAACCCCCAAAGGCTGTCACCTAAGACCCACTGAAAGGCTCGGAGGGAATAGCTGTGTGTTCCTAGTGGTAAGTGGCTGCTTCCTCCCCCTGCTAACCCTCTCCCATCTCCTCCTTTGCAGCCTATGAGATTGTCATAGAAACGGGCAATGGCGGTGAAACCAGGGAGAATGTCTGGCTCATCCTGGAGGGCAGGAAGAACCGATCCAAAGAGTTCCTTGTGGAAAATTCTTCCAGACAGAGAGCCTTTAGGAAGTAAGGAGGGAAATGTCCACAGGGGAGTGTGGGTGGGGTGGTAATTTGGGGAACTCCCCAAATCTTCTCCTTGGACAAGCCATAAGTAGACAAATGGGCATAACTAGCAATTGCCTTATTGCGTCCTTCCTGTGTACTGCCCCATGCTACCTACTGCAAACACCATTCCACATCCAAGTAGACATGGCACTCACTTCCCACATTCCTCAGGCCACCTCAGCTGCCACCTTATCTCTGAACTGGTTACATAGCCTCCCCTTCCCCCTTAATCCCCTGTCTTAGTCCAGTCAGGATGCCCTAACAAGAGATCATAGATAAGTGGCTTATAAATAGAGAAAGCTTGCTTTTCACAGTACTGGAAACTGGGCATCTAAGACTAAGGATTCAGTGCTCCAAGATTGTGTCTTGTGAGGGTCTGGCTCCTGGTTCAAAGACAGCCATCCTCTCTCTTGTGTCCTCACAGTAAAAGGGGTTAGGGAGGGAGTGCTCTGTGACCTCCTGAAAGGGTCACCAATCCCATCCCTGACACCTCTACCTCCATCACCTAACCACTTCCCAAAGGCCCCACTTCCCAATGCCTTCACACTGGGGATTTGCTGTCAACATAGGAATTTGGGAGAGACACAAACACTCCATTTGGAGAAGGCTTTTATTTATATTCTTTCTTCACAGATACAAAGCCTAAACTCTCCTTAGACTGGTCATTACCACCACAGACTGCCCAAATTTCCACCTTCTCCATAACCATTTCTCTCCCCATACCCAAATTTCACATAGGCAAAAATCCCTTCGCATCCCATTATGCCCTTCCTAGGATTTTGCGAAGGAGGGTCTGCATCGAGGACTCTCCCCTTTCCCTCCTCTGCTCTTTGGATCTCACCATCCTCAGCTCAACAGTCAGGGCCTCGCTCTCCTCCAGTCTGTTTAATGATACCTTACCATCCATTGGTGCCGGGTCCAGGCAATGATTGGACTTTGTTGTGATTGTCCTATCCTCAAACTAGACTTAATCTCTCAAGGAATGCAGGACTGACATTATGTCTTGACTGGAAAGCAGCAAGCACACGACAATGCTTACCTACTCAGTGGGCATGGGCAACTCACTGGCCACACCTTTGTTTCCTACAGGGGGGCCACTGACACATTTGAGTTCGACAGCATCTTCTTGGGGGACATTGCCTCTTTGTGTGTAGGCCACTTGGCCAGGGAGGATCGATTCATCCCAAAAAGAGAGCTGGCCTGGCATGTCAAGACTATCACCATCACCGAGATGGAATACAGCAATGTGTATGTATGGTTTCCCCCTCTCACCTACCTATCCTGTCTTCCAACCTTTCCCACTTCTGATCTTGGGTTTACAATGGGCTTTCTAGCTTTCATACCAGTTGTTGTTCATCATTTTTATCCGTAGGATTTCAATGAAAGTCAGAGAAGCTTTTGTTCATCTTTTAAACCACAAACACACTTACTGTTTGATTCCAATAGCATATCCAGTATATAATCACAAAAATTCAAGTAAAACAGAAAAGTAGGTAAAAGGAGGTAAATTTTCCTTAAGTGCCTACCCACAAGAGATGATCACCAGCGGGGGAAAATGTGTCCTGCTCTCTGGCATTTTTCTAGTACCTCCCCTACACAATGTTCACAGAAGGGTAATTGCATTATACCAGATTCCTTTTTGTTCATCATCCTGTGCTGCTGCCTTTGTTCCTATGGACTACCCCACTCCCATTTCCATAAGGCTTTGACTCCACTAAGTCCTTGCCACATCTTGGTGATCTTCTAAAATTCTGTCTATTAGAAAACATTTCCTTGTATCTACACCAGGAAATATTTTTTAACTATTCAAAATAATGAATTAAATATGTACCAGATGACTTGGAGCAATTCCCAGGAAGTATTGTTGAGTGAGAAAAGCAAAATGCAGGAAAACATGTCATATATGATGCCGTTGAAAAAAGGGAACACTGACGTCCCCATATGTCTATGTGTGTGTGTGTGTGGGTCCAGGAAGGCCTGAGTGGGATGGAAAGAAATCTGGCAGCCACACCCTTAACTGCAACATGGGTTATCTGAGGTAAATGTAGGGTGCTGAAGTGAAAAGGAGAGAAAAAGAGAAGATAGAGCCAAACAGAAAGGAAGAAAGATAGTGCACATTTAGGAACAGTGTGTATAGATGATCATATGACTTCTGCATGTACATAGAATTATGTATATTGGTGGGTATATGCATTTAAAAGACATTTTAAAGAATTTTAATGGGGGGCTGGGAAGGTGGCTCAGTGGTAGAGCCCTTGCCTTGCAAGCATGAGGCCCTGGGTTCGATTCCTCAGCACCACATAAGCAAAAAGAAAAAAAAGCCAGAAGTGGTGCTGTGGCTCAAGTGGCAGAGTGCTAACCTTGAGCTGAAGAGCTGAGGGACAGCACCCAAGCCCAGAGTTCAGGCTCCACAACCAGACCCCCCCCCAAAAAAAGAATTTTAAAACAAAGAATGCACGTATATCCTTCCAGTATGTAATAGCAACCTAACAACCTAACTGACAGGAGGAAGATCTCAAAACAGAATCAAGATTTCTTGTGAAATGGCTTAAATGGCTTCATCTTCAGGGTTAGACAGGCCCTTATTTAGGTCACTTTAAACAGTCAGTTATTTTCTTCAAATTTGTTTCCTCTCCCCTAAAACAGAAGGATCAGACCCAGGATTTATATCAAAGTTAATGTGACACAAGAATACCCCGACCTTTGGTAAATATACAGACATTTAAAGTTTTTTTTGGTGTTAAAATTTTTCATGTAAGGACTCAGTGGCACAGCATATATTTAGCCTACCTGAGGCCCTGTGTTCAATCCTCAGCATGCGTGCACACACACACACACACACACACACACACACACGCACACACACACACACACACATAGAGCATTTGCATTATCATCTAAGATTACAGTTGGTTCTCCCCACTTGGGTATACCCTTCCATTGCTAAAGTCATTGGCCAGTGCAAGACCACTTATTTCCAAAGCTAGTAAAGTATTAGCAATCTGGGGCTACGGGCAAGGTGCAAGCGGTAGAGGGTGTGGTTCAAGTGGTGGTGGGGGGCAGTGACTCATGCAGTAGGGGGAGTGGCTTAAGTGGTAGTGCACTTGCCTAGCAAGCTCCAAACCAAGTTCAAACATGAATACTACAAAACTAACTAACTAAGTAAATAAATAAATAAAATACTAGCAATTTTGGGTGGAAAGAAGCCACAGCAATTGTTCATTTCAAACTCAGAAGGCAAGACACAGAGACCAGTTAGGAGAACCTTGATTTGGGGATTAGGGAAGGAAAGAAAGCATGCTACTGGGTGTTGTTCCAAATAAGTTGATTCTAGGTATATTTTAAAGCTTGGATCAACAGATTTTGCTTATGGATTGGACATGGAGTACACATGATTAAAAAAGAACCATAGAGAAACTGGAAGGCTGAGATGTCTCTCCACTGTGAATCTTAAACCAAGCTTATATTCACATCTGAACCTAGACAGCTCCAACCTCAAGCTCTTGGGGAAAATGGTGGGAGGAGCTCTTACAACTCAGGTCTATGATAGAGGAAATAACCTGCGCTGGTTCTTACCCCCTCTCTCACTCCTCTGCCAGCTACTTCTTTAACTGTGACTGCCTCATCCCCCTCAAAAGGAAGAGGAAGTACTTCAAGGTATTTGAAGTTACCAAGACTACTGAAAGCTTTGCAAGCAGGATCCAGAGCCTGGTACCTGTCAAGTATGAAATTATCGTGACAACAGGTTATGAACTAGGGGCTGGCACTGATGCCAATGTCTTTGTGACCATCTTTGGGTCCAACGGGGACACAGGCAAAAGGGAGCTGAAGCAGAAAATGCGCAACCTCTTTGAGAGAGGCAGTACAGATCGCTTCTTCCTGGAGACGCTGGAGCTGGGTGAGCTGCGAAAAGTGCGTCTAGAGCATGACAGCAGTGGCTACTACTCGGGCTGGCTAGTGGATAAAGTGGAGGTCACCAACACTAGCACTGGGGTGGCCACGATCTTCACCTGTGGCAGGTGGCTGGACAAGTCTCGGGGGGATGGGCTCACCTGGAGGGACCTCTTCCCTTCTGTCTGAGAGGATGGTCTTGGCCACATCCTTCCTGCTTCCATTTAGATGCTCAGCTGTCCTCTCTGGAGACCTCAGAATTAGGGAGTGGGGCAGGCAGGTCCCGACAACCTCATGGACCTTCAGGGACTGCTATTTGTGAGTGACTCTCCATGGGGTCCTTCTTCCCCCTCTCCTAGTCTCTTGAACCTATGGGAATCATAATTAGCATGTGTCATAATCTGTGGTGGCGTACAAAAAAATACTTTTTCACAGTTCTTCTTTTTGTAACAGTGGTAGCCAGGCTGGGATTTGCTGCAGGGTGTGGATGGAAATTGGGGCCTCACCCAGGGGAGATAAGTGGGGAAGGAGAGGCCATCAAGATGGTGTATTTTAAGCAAAAAGCTAATTAACACTTTTTCCCAGAAAAAGCTGGGCTAATTAAATTATTACCAACCATACCCCACAAAGAACTCATCTTAGCATCTGCTTGCTAAGAAATATATGCTTCCCCCCCCCACAATTTCAATAAATCAAGTGACAAGTGAAGAAAACTATCAGGAGGAAGGGGGTGATTAGAAGCCTGTGGAAAGCAGATCATTCTTTCCTTCACTTTATAGAGGACTCATGGGCAAGGTTCTCCTGTGTTGGGACAGATTCAAGGCCATGTGGAGGCCCCAAGAGCAGCCTGGTTACACCCAACGTAAAGCTAGGAGTGCTACTCAGCCACAGTTACCTGTCGCTCTCTATGGGCAATGGTTGGGCTGAGAGCAGAGAGGAGAATCAATGACAATATGAAAACAGTCTCTGTGCTTTCAGAGGACATAACATTGATGTAGAGATTGCAGGAGAATCACATACTTGTGTATGCATGCAGATACACATATATGCACATATACACAGGCACACACAACATTCATGTACGCACGTACCAGTACATGCAACCCACACATATGACTCTCCCTAGTCAACAGTCAGACAGTGCTCTACCAGGCTCTCCAGAACTCAGCCCCCGACCTCTGCTTTCCTGAAGAGAAGGGACTGCAGTAGAAGAGCTGGACTAGGAAGTCTTCCTGCAAGGGGCCACTTCTCCCTTCCTTTCCCTGCAGAATCACCTGTGTCCTTCACTGGTCTATTCTTAATGAGGCTCCATGACTTCAGAAAGCTCTGAGAGACTTATCAGGGAAAGATTAAGTGCACAAGCCCCAGGGTTATTTATCGCCCTGCTTGCATCCCAGCTCTGCCTCAGCATCCTGACACCTGGGGCAGGTAATTTCATCTCTCTGGGCCTTAGCTTCCACACCTGTAATGCTGTGAATGCTAATAAAGCCTACCTCATGGGTTGTTATATGACTAAATGAGTTCATGTTAATGTAATTTCATGCGTGGACTGCTTACACTAAACACTGAGTAAATCTATCAAGTCCAACACCACGGTCTCACAGGATGTGGGAACTGGAAGAAAAGAACTTGATTTCTGTGGATGGGCTCCATCCCCTTCGTCCGATGAAAATTCAGACATTGCTTGCATTTCTTTAGGTAACAGAAAGTCCAATTAACATTGGAAGTCAGAAGACCTAATTCCAGTCTGTAATTAAATGTCTAGCCCCAATAGAAAGGTTACAAATATCCCCTTAGCCCCCAGTTCACTTTAGTTTGATGGAGGCTAGATTATTGATGAGTAGATGTGCCCATGTGGGGGGGGGGGTGCCAAAGGGGAGGTAAGACAGGAAAGAAGGAGGGAAGGAAGGAGAGAGGGAGGAAAAGAGAGTCAGAGAGAGATGCTTGTCCTTACTCTGTCCCTCTGTGCAATTAGCCTCCCTCATCCAGGGAGGAACAGAGGCAAAGGAAGGAGATAGATTCCTAACAGGGGATGCTATTGTGGTTGTCTTTTGTTTGGATTTGATGGGCATTTGGAGTTTCTGACATTGAGTTCATCCCTCCATACATATCTTTTTTAATTTTTGGTGCTGTTACTAGAGCTTGAACTCAGGGCCTGGGCACCGACCCTTATCTTTTTTCACTCAAGGTTGGTGCTCTACTGCTTGAACCCTTCACTTTTGGCTTTTGGGTGGTTAACTGGAGATAAGAGTATCAGGAACTTTCCTGCCCAGGTTGGCTTTGAACCATGATCCTCAGATCTCTCAGCCTCTTGAGTAGCTAGGATTACAGAGGTGAGCCCCCAGCACCCAACCCTCCATTCTACTTCATTAAGACCCTAGAATATCCACAGAAGAGCCCTGGCACTCAACTCAGACACCCTAGTCACTCAGTCTTCTCATCCGTCTGCCTTTGGCTGTCAGCCAATGTCTCATCGCTGTGATGTTTTCAGAGAGGACAGGCCACTGTGTCCTCAGTCGAAAGGGACACATTTTCCTCTCCAAATGGCCTTGCTGAAGTCCCAAGCTCTACTCTCTGGTTAAAGGATGGCAAGAGGAAGGGGCTCTCAGCCCCTGCAGTTCTCTCTGGATATCCTGTCATCTTTCCTCTGTCCCTGCTCAGCCCTTCCCCCGTCACCACCTGGAGGAGGATGCTCAGCTCAGAGTCCAAACCAGTTTCCTGCCACATCCTTCTGGCAAGCATTGCCTGGTGGTCTCACTGAGGAATGTGGCATCTGTCGTTTTGTGGATTCAGCCAAAAGTGGTGCAGAAAGAGCCTCATATTCTCCTCCTGTTACTGATGGGTTCAATAAATGCTGTTTGTGAGATAGAGCAGGCCTGATTCCACAATGAACCTCGTGACTGTGACCTCAGTCAAATTTCTTGGCATCTCTGATCTGCTGTGCCTGCTCTGCTTTCCTCACTGGGCTTGTCAAGATCTGATTAAATTATTGCTGTGAATGCTCCACTTAAAAAAAAAAAACTGTTAACAAGCCAGGCACTGGTGGCTTACGCCTGTAATCCTAGCTACTCAGGAGGCTGAGATCTAAGGATCATAGTTTGAAGCTAGCCCAGGCAGAAAAGTCTCCATGAGATTCTTATCTCCAATTAATCACTCAAGGGCTGGAAGTGGAGCTGTGGCTCAAGTGGTAGAGCATTAGCCTTGGGCACAAAGAGGCTCATGGACAGTACCTAGGCCCTGAGTTCAAGCCTCATAACCCACAAAACAAATGAAACTTTTAATACCACTAGTTCATTCAGATTCACTTTATTCCTCGCAGGACCCTTCCCACCATCCCCTTCTTGCTGGATTTCCCCAAGTTCCTGCGCCCTCTACCACTCCTATCTTAGAAAAGTCTTGGAGCACAGCTCCAAGCCCAGCATGCCACCCTCCAGCAGTGCCACATGCACTCTCCCCTCTGCTGGGCCTCTGATAGGACTCTCTACCTGACGTCTCAGGCACGCCTTTACCCCTCGGTGTCCCTGGGCCCTGTGCTTCATATTCTTTATGTCTCAGCTCAAGGGCTTTCTTCACTGACTAGAAAAGTTTGCATTTTCTCTCTCCTGTGATGAAGCTAGGAGGCCTCACCTTGTTCTTGATTCTGTAAAAAAAAAATATGTTGGGATTGCATCCTTTTATAATGGGACCACGCATGAATCTTTAAGAAGAGCTAGATCTGATTCATATTTGTGACTCAAACATTTATCACAGTGCATCGCGTGTGTCCCAAACATATGTATACTGAAAGAATGAATAGAGAGATTGAAGGAAGTATGACTGGGTAAGTGGGTGAGTGGATGGATGGAAGGAGGGATGGATAGATGTATGAAAGATACATGTAATAGATAGATGGATGAATAGGTGGATGGCGGGTGGATGGATAGATGGATGGATATGTAGATAGGTGAGCGGATGATTAGTGGTTAGTGGTTCTAACCAGGATGGTAGTAATAAAAGTAGTTGAAAGTGGCCTGCTTCTGTGTGTATCTTGAGGCCTACTTTCAGGGTTTGCTGAGGGGTTGAATGAGAAATATAAAATACAGAGAAGAGTTGATATTAACAAATAGTTTTACCTATGTACCTAGAAGACTAGAATTGCCATTTCTTGAGCTAGAGAAGACAGTTGGAGAAGTGCAGGTCTGGAGTTTTCTGGTTGCTTTGTTTTATAGGTGGGGAGAAGGTAGGAGCTTATGGAGAATTGGTTCTCCAATATTTGGACAGTGATATAGGTGAGCAGTTGAGTAGACACCACATGTTCAATACAGAGACGGAATATCTTTGATGACATACTCTGAGGAGGAGACCTTCTCCAAGTTTCCCACTTCTTCTGAGTATTTCTTAACACACTTGGAACAGTGCCAAGGACCAAGAACTGTGTCTTAAGGACGGAGCCCTAGGGGAGCAGCCTGGAGTAAGAGTTGAGTGTATGAGAACCTGAATTCAACCCCTTCCCACTTCCTTGTTGTGTAGGACACTGGTATGACACATTACCTGTGCATCCCTTTCACATGGAAATTGATCCTAATACTACAAGGACTGTTACAAAGATGAATGAGGGAGTTTGTGTGGCCAACTTAGTATGGTATAGTACCTGGCTCCAAGGAAGGGCTGGGGCAATGTGAACCATCATCATCTTCAGCCTACCTTCCATCTATTAGATTACTGATTACAAGCTCTTCCAGTTCCTTTCTTGCTCTGCTCTGCTATGGAGCCTGCTAACAAACATACACATCTCAAACTGAGTCTCTCCTGTAGGAGAGATGCTGCCGTCTTTGAGAGCCACCCCAGCACTGTGGAGGAAGAGGCTGCCAGGAAGTTACCAGGACAACTTCAACCTGGAAAATAATAGGGTGAAACAGTATTCCCAACTGTCCCTAGAGCTCACTCCAAACCTTGACCTTATCTCTCAGATGATTCTAATCCTCCCAAAGTGCTGTGATATTACCTGTGTAGTCTATTCTGAGCAGAAGCCTTCCCAGTTCAGGAGCTGACTCTTCCCAGTAACTAGTGACACTAAATGCATCCCTCTTCCCATCTTTTCTGTGTAAATAGCTTAGGACTTACTTGAAAAGACTCTAATCACAATGCTAAGTGTCTGTGCTGTGAGCCTAGGCAAAGGAACCTTCTAGCTCAGCCTGGACTGCTGAGATTTGATCACAGACAAGGTTATTAGTACACATGTAGGAGAAGCTG